AAGAGACAGGGTTTTACCGGGACGAAGCTGCCGCTGGCGGAGCAGCGCATCGCGGCCGCGGTGGGCGGAGCTCCTTCATGAAGGCTCCATGCGGACCTGAGTGAGAACCGCCCCCGGGCCTTTCTCCGCTGCGGACCAATGGGAAGGGCCGTCGGATCCCAGCACGGCCAATCAGCGCCCAGCACCGGAGGGCGACAACTTGGGTGTGCGAGCGGCGGGACTGAGCCCCCGTCGCGCCGAAAAACCGAAATAACTCTTTGAAAGCCTTAAAATTCTGTTTTTGCGGGAGAAGGGGAGCCAGCAGCTTGCCCTCAGCCTCGCAGCAGACTTAGGCTGAGCTATTTAATATGAAAAAAGATTTACTACGTAAAAATAATTTTTCTTCCCCGCCTGCGCTGCCTCCAGCCTCCCTTTATAACATTTCTACCGCTCGCTGATTGGCCACACCCCGCATGGAAATGAGGCAGCTCCAAATCTCGCGTTACTATTGGCCAGGAGGCGGTGCTGTTCTATTGGTCCTCGTGCCAGTGCGCTTCCAGCCAATCAAACCGCGTCATTTCGCTCCCCAGCAGGGTATAAAGGGCCGGGCGAGGCGGCGCCGCTCGGTGCGGTAGAGCGGGAGCCATGTCGGGGCGCGGGAAGCAGGGCGGCAAGGCCCGCGCCAAGGCCAAGTCGCGCTCGTCCCGCGCCGGCCTCCAGTTCCCCGTGGGTCGCGTCCACCGGCTGCTCCGTAAAGGCAACTACGCGGAGCGGGTGGGCGCCGGCGCTCCCGTGTATTTGGCAGCTGTCATGGAATATTTAACAGCCGAAATCCTGGAGCTGGCGGGAAACGCCGCTCGGGATAACAAGAAGACGCGGATCATCCCCCGGCATCTGCAGCTGGCGGTGCGCAACGACGAGGAGCTCAACAAGCTGCTGGGCGGCGTCACCATCGCGCAGGGCGGGGTCCTGCCCAACATCCAGGCCGTGCTGCTGCCCAAGAAGACCGAGAGCCACAAAGCCAAGGGCAAGTGAGGCAGCGGGAGGAGGGGGGGAAGCAGCTTGGAGACGGCCTGGAGGTTTTCATTTTTTTTTTTTTTAATAAATGCAAAGGCTCTTTTCAGAGCCACCCAACGTTTCAGGAAAAGGGCTGGAGGAGCGGGGTGAGGCGGGGCTGGCGCTAGCGAGCGTTAATGCTCTGCTCTTGATCCTCCCTCGGAGGGGAGTGTGACGCGTCATCGACCTAAAACTCGTAAAACGGCCCCAAAAGCAGCAACGTGACAAAATCCCCTGGGAAAGGAGATGGGGGTTCGCCCATCGGGGCTGTGAAACGGTGACTTGGGGGAAGGCGCTGAGAGGCCTGGAGCGAGCGCGGCTGCAGAGCGAGCGTCCTGGTTTGCGCTAATTAAAGCGGCGGGAGGGGGGAGGGCGCCTTGCCCGGAGCTTGTATTTATGCAAATGAAGACTCTAGTCCGCGCTCAGCCATTGGCTAAGACCACCTCACGGAGCTTCCCCGACAGTAAAGCGGCTCCAATTCTCACGCGCTGATTGGCCAGTTACTGAATCGCTCAGCCAATAGCTACGCGTTGTTTGGATTCCCCCCCGCATTTCTCTCAACGGTGCCGGTAGCCTGGGCGGGCGCCGGGGATAAATGTTTGAAGGAATATTCGTAACGACCCCACAAAGAACGTGGCCCGGTTTTTCCCCTTCAGGCTGTAACTGATTTTTCTTCCCCGCTCCACGTGCGGGCAACGCCGGGGGTTAACGAGCCTGGCGGGGAATCCCCCAGCTCACCCCCACGCCTGTACAAGAACAAGGTAGAAAATGGGGTGGGGGCGGATTCCCCAGCCAACACAGGGCTGGTTACCAAGTACACGGCGATGAGCTTTTTTTACGTTAAGCTGTCTCGAGGGGTTTTATCTACTTATTTCCTTTTAAAAATTTCTTATTTCCGCCCCCAGAAAAGGCTTGCAATTACATTCTCAAAATAGGCTTTTCAAGCAGTAAAATCTAAGGCAGAGCGCGACTCGCCCTACACCGTACCGGTGCGTTTCGCTACCCAACGCCCACCTCCAGGAACAGGCACCGGCGCTCCGGGAGCGGCAGACACAACCCAACCCCCCCGCTCGCAAGAACGCTTACGGCCACGCCCACAGGGCTTATAGCGAGGCCGACGGACCAGAGGGAAACCTGCGCTCTCGCGAGGGCATTGGCGTCCATCCGGACCAATCAGAGCGGAGCCGCGGTTTGAAGGCCGAAGCGGCAGCACGAACCGCCCGGACTCGGGGTGGCTGCGCGCCCAAGTGCCGCCTAGAAACCGTTTCCTTAAACCGTTTCAAACGCCCAGAAACTACCGCAACCCTCCCACAGGCTGCAAACCGTTAAAACCCTCGAAAAAACAAAAATTTAAAGGGTCACGTCAGCAATATCAGCCCTTTGGTAACTGAGTGGGTGGCTCTGAAAAGAGCCGTTGGGTTGAGTCGAGCCGGTGCCCGTAGCTGCTCACTTAGAGCTCGTGTACTTGGTGACCGCCTTGGTGCCCTCGGACACGGCGTGCTTGGCCAGCTCGCCGGGCAGCAGGAGCCGCACGGCCGTCTGGATCTCCCGCGAGGTGATGGTGGAGCGCTTGTTGTAGTGCGCCAGGCGCGACGCCTCCCCCGCGATGCGCTCGAAGATGTCATTGACGAAGGAGTTCATGATGCCCATGGCCTTGGAGGAGATGCCGGTGTCAGGGTGCACCTGCTTCAGCACCTTATACACGTAGATGGAGTAACTCTCCTTGCGGCTGCGGCGCCGCTTCTTGTCGCCTTTTTTCTGGGTCTTCGTCACCGCTTTCTTGGAGCCCTTTTTGGGGGCGGGCGCCGATTTAGCTGGTTCTGGCATGGTCGCTGAAGCCGCGGCAAAACGGAGTCACGGAGTGAAGTCGCCGAGCGGGTGGCGCGGCTTTTATAGGAGCGTTATGCAAATGAAGAATTCAACCGTTGCGCACTCCCATTGGCCGAAACAGAGCCATTTGCGGAGTGACCCCACGCATGCAAATATGCCGGCTCCAAACCGCAATCTCTGATTGGACTCTGATCACGAGCCAATCAAATCGCGCCGTTTGGATCCTGCCGAGCACAGCGTGGAGCGCGGGGGGGAGCCGCGCTGGTCCCTGTGTGAGCCCCGCGCCGGAGCGGAGCGAAGGCGGCTCCGGGGGATGCGATTATCGGTAACGGGGCCCTGCGGCGCCACAACGGGGCTCCCCCGGGGGAGAAACCGGTACCCTACCCCCTCGGCGCCGTTTCCCGACGGAGCCACCGAAGCTCAATGAGGGCCGGAGGCGGGATTCCCCTCGCGACCCCGCCCACTCTCACGCGGGGGCCAATCAGCGGCGAGCGCGCGAAATTCAAACGTGCGCTGCGGACCGTAAAGGCGCGCAGGCGGAGAGGCGCTTCCTGCGCTCCTAATCGCTGTCAACAGTAATGGCTGCCGCCTCCCCGATAGAGCGGGTTCTTCCCGGGAACTTTTGGGGATAAATCCCTTTATTTTGGGGTCTCTGAATTATCCCTCTGCGGCAGCATTGGTGGTTCAGTGGTAGAATTCTCGCCTGCCACGCGGGAGGCCCGGGTTCGATTCCCGGCCAATGCAGCGTAACTTTTCCTTTCCTCTCCTTCCACTCTCATTTTTTCCTCTCCATCCCGTATTTCCAGCCCTATTCTCCCTCCGGAACCAGGAAGTGACGTCCCGCAACGTGTCGCTGCCACCCAAAAAAAGAAAAAAAAAACCAAAAAAAAAAAAAACAAAAACCCTGACGTTAAAAGCGACTTTTTCGGGCGTCCCTGGGTGGGCTCGAACCACCAACCTTTCGGTTAACAGCCGAACGCGCTAACCGATTGCGCCACAGAGAC